GATGAGTCATCTACCATTCATCTTCTAGGATTAACTCTTACTTCTGATCTTTCTTTTAAACCGTATATCAAATCCATTGCAAAATTAGCATCTGCTAAGGTTGCATCTCTTTATCGAGCTCGACACTTTCTTACTCCAGATTCTATTCTCTATCTCTATAAATCCCAAATCCGTCCCTGTATGGAATACTGTTGCCACATCTGGGGCGGATCTTCTAATGATGCCCTTTCTCTTTTAGACAAAGTGCAAAAACGCATTGTAAACATAGTTGGACCTGCTCTTGCAGCCAACCTTCAACCTCTGTCACATCGTTGTAATGTTGCTTCTCTTTCTCTTTTCTACTAATACTATAATGGGCACTGCTCTAAAGAGCTAGCGTCCCTTGTGCCATCTACTAAAATTCATTCTCGTGTTACCCGCCATTCAATTTAGTCTCATCCTTTTTCTGTGACTGTTCCTAAGTGCTTCAAAAACTCTTATTCTTCTAGTTTTTTTCCTCGAACATCAGTTCTTTGGAATTCGCTTCCTTCATCTTGCTTTCCTGATTCATATAATTTGCAATCTTTTAAGTCATCAGTCAATCGTTATCTTGCTCTACAGATTTAGTCTTTTCTCTTCCAGTAACTTCCAACTCTTATAGTGGTTGCTTGCAGCCTTGTTGGAAGTGAAGATGTTAAAAAAAAAAAAAAAAAAAAAAGTATAATTTTTTTGTAGCTCTTCATATTTTATTGACTTAACCAATATCAGCGATATTTACTTATTTATTTATTTTTGTCAAGCAACCATTTACAATTAAAGGTAATTTCGGATAAAATATTTTGAGAATATTTAGTTCATAAATATTAAGTGCCCTCATGCTTTTTAGAAGAGGTTTAGCATTTGTGAAGCGATTTTGAAAATGACTAATGTGTGCTGCATGATTCTGTTGTTTAAGGAGACACTCGAGTTTAGATTTATTTGTACAAATACAAACAATATTGCCATAAGTTAAATAACTGTTTATTATATTGGTAAAGTCAATAGGAAAAGATAGGAAAGTGCAGTTTCTCAAAATTGACACTTTCCACCAAGCTTATCTACGCATTTCAATGAGCCAAGAAAGACTTGCAGAATTCGCCATCTTTTTGATAGAAAAAGACCTAGCTTAACGACTTAAAATGAAAATCTTATAGAAGATATTTCAAGAATATAAACTAGGAAGGTACCGTTGAGTTAAAAAAAGTTTCTAGTGAAGTAAAGTAAAGAATTTTTAAAATGTAATTTCTTTATCAATAATTTGTTTTCCCTTTAAGGTTTTGTAATTTTTTGTTTTTAATACAAGTTTTAACACAAATTTTATACAAGGTATTCAATCTATAAATTAATAATTCTTTTAACTCAAATAAGACAATAGTAAAAAACTAGCACATGGAAAACCAAGGGTTAGGGTAACAACATCATTTTATGTATGGAAAAAAAAAAAAGTTTTTGCCATGTCCGCCCAACGACATCTGTAATTATAATGAGGTATAATAAAATCTATCCAACAACAACTGAAACTTCATTATTACCTAATAACATCTGAGCAAAAATTAAATGAATTTACAGATGTAGTTACATCTTTTAAATTATCAAAGTGAAAAAAACATCTGTGCAACTACATCTTTGGATTTTACAGATGTAGTTAGATCTTTTAAATTATCAAAGTATAATAATATCTGTGCAACTACATCTTTAGATTTTTAAGATGAAGTTATTTTTAAGACGAATTAACTAATATTACATTATTTTAACCAGATGTAATTACATATAGAAGTATTTCAGATGTAACTACACCTGGAGAAAATTCTTCCAGATGTTATTGGACTTGGAGAAAAATTACCAGAAGTAGTTATATCTTCCTAAAGATGTTGTTAGGGGTCGTTGAATTTTCAGATGATATTGAACAGATGTTGTTAGAGTAAAAAAAAATGCAGATGATTTTAGACAAAAGTGTACAGATGATCTCGGGCTACTCCACAGATGTTGTTAGTTCTAGCACATATTAATTTAATATAATTGCCAAAATACAACATTTCTATCAACTTTCACAAAAAATATTAAAATTCCGGTGAAGAAAGCACTTATAACTAAAAAAAATTGCCAATGAACGATCAGAACAGATCATATTATTAAACTATGAACAAGCGATAGTGGTTTAAAGAAGATTTTTTTAAAAAAAAAAAAGAATACTTGGTTTTTTACGCTACAAACATTTTTATTTTAGGGGTCGTCCATAAAGTACGAACGCTTTTTTGAATATCCTCCACCTCCGTATAAGTATCTACGCATTGAACCTATTTATCTAACATTTTATGATATTTTTTTAATTCAGTGTCTCCTTTCTTTTATAATTGACCCACTGCCCTCCCATATACGCCATTTTCAAACCCCTCTTTCCCTCCGAGCGTACTTTATGGACCATCCCTTATGTTGCTGCAAAGTTGATTTTAATTTTTTTGTTTTTTCATGATTCACAGACCTGATCATTTAACGGAAATATGCTCCAGTCAGCAAAATATTATACAGACGCTATAATTATTAAAATTTGCCTTAACTACACCGAGTAAAAACATAAAGTTTTAATGATAAAAATTAATATAGATAAGTAGATAAAAACTTGTAATTTAAAAGTTATTTTAATAGTAAAAATTGATTTTTATTAGTCATGATAAAGTTGAGTCATTCCATGTCAAAAACTGTACAACAATAACATTTAGTTTAATCACTCTCAACGTAGTTAAGGAGAGATCCGAACGATTTGCATTTCATAAAAACAAAAATATACATTTTTAAACTTCAATTTTTTGTGTTTTCCGCTTATTTTCGACTATTACTGTTATATATTTTTAAAAAGTAGAATTTAAGTTTTTCTTATACAATTTATTATTTTTTTATAAATCTTTTTTTAACCAAAGCATCAAGCAAAACAAAACTACCACTAAAATACTTAAAACGCGACGGGCCAGCGTCATAAAAACAGCTTAAACAAATATGTTAAGTATTTACATTCCAAAAATGTCTCTTTTATTCGAAAGTAAAATGACTTCTTTACAGCTTTAAAATATTCAATAAATGACTAAAAACCACTTATTTTATTTTTTCGTAAACAGTAAAAACGTTAAAATTAAAGTTTTCCCATTAGTTTTCACTCGTAGCAATTTACTCTCTTTATAGTCGCTTGAATAAATTACTAAACAAAAACGTTGCAGCTTTTATATAACTTCTGCCCCATAATATTAAGGTAAAACTTCTGCCCCATTGTATTAAGGTAAAACTTCAAACTCGTCGAAAATAAAGTCACTGAACATTTGCAAACAAAGTAAAATAACGAGCTTTGTGATTTAAAAAAAAAAAATAAACCAATCAAAACGCACACAAAATGAAACGGCATTTTTCGAAAGCGAAAGGAACTAAACGCTATATTTTTCTTCGGATCTCTCCTTAACTACGCTGTGCAGACATGTGGCTAAGCTACCCCGCGCCCCCGGAGAGAGGTGGGGAACAAGGGCGGATCCAGACCGTATCGTAAAGGGGGCAATTTTGAATATTTTTCGAGTAGGGGGGGGGGGCGATTTTTAGATTTAATGATTTGTAAGCAAGCAATCACACAATTTTATTAAAAATATAATTTTATTTAGACAGCCTAACTATATTATTTCCGTTTTCAAACAATTTGCTGTGTTTAATATATAAACTTACAAATATAAAAAGTTTCAAAACCTTCTAAGGAGGAAGGAGGGGGGGGGGGGTCGATTGCTCCCATTGCTCCTATGGATCCGCCCTTGGTGAGGAAGAAGTGAAATTAGGGGCTATTTTGCAAATATTTTATTACTTTTTTTATTTTTGGAAATGGAGCCCAGTGAAGGATACTTTAAGACTGTTGGACCCTAAGGCCCTAATGACCCTCTTTTTTTTGGGAAAGAGGGAGAGGGGAGACTCCAACCTAACAGCTACGTCACTGCCAGACAAAATATATATTTGTTGTTATAAATTATTTTTATTTTAAATTCTCTAAAATTTTTTAAATTTTGCAAATAAAAATATGTTAAGTAAAAAATTGATACAAAAATAGTTTTAATTTATTGTGTTAAAAATTAAATTATTTTGTTTTTAAATAGTCGTAAAATTTAAACACTGAACAAGTTTAAACGCTGAACTTTTATCGAATGTTGAATACTGTCAATAAATTTGATATATTTTAAGATATTATTAATATTTTATTGGAAAACAAGTTATTTCACATTTAGGCCAGGTAAATATCCGTTGCCATTACTACATCCATTAAATTGTTTTAAGCATAGTCATAAGAATTCTTTTTATTACTAAGTTTCAGTCGTCTGAAATAAAAATTAGAATTAAAGTAAAGCGTACAACTTTACATAACTGCGTGCGTCACTGCTGCGTCAACGAATTTAAATTAAAGTCTATTGTCAAAATACAGTTTTAATGTAAATTTTCTTTGTTTAATAAACAAAAGGTTGTAAGAATAGTTTGCAAATATTTCAATGCATCTTTATTATATCTACGTGACTTAACGATGTTAATCGTTTTAATAATATTTTAATAACTATTAATAAAAATAAAAAATAAGAAAGAATAACAAACAAAAATAAAAAAAGTACGAACGAACGTTATATAATCTCTCTACTAGTAACTGCAAATCCTAAAATATCGTTATATTTAAAGTAGAACCCGGTAGAAACCGGAAAAGTTTGACGTTGACTCGCATTTAAAATAAACTTTTTTAACCCGCAATGTGTTGTGGTTAAGATAATTTAAAAAAAAATTATTTATAATTAACTACTTTGCTTAATCGTGTTTAGTTTATAATTTAAGAACGCAATTTAAAAATGTTATTTGTTTGAATTTTATTCCTTAATTGCTACATTTAATTGCTGTTTTATGTGTCGTAAAATCTTTTTTATAGATTATTTAAACTAGAACTTTTAAACTAGATTTTTTAAACTAGAAAAAAATAAATGGCTAATAAACAGAGAGTTTGTTGCGTGGCTGTAGACGAGAATAAATGGAGCGAACAAGCTTTTCTATGGTATGTAGAAAATAATTATACGAAAGAAGACACCCTTGTTGTTTTACACGTTCAAAGCATCCCGGATTTATCTTGTTTTAATTTGTTAGGTGGCATACGTGTGCTTGAAGAGTTTAACGAAAAATTGCGCGCAACTGTTGAGAATGAAGACAAACTTAAGTTAAAGTATAATTTGCTTTGCAACCAATTAAATATCGAATTCAAATTTGTTACAGTTGAAAAATCAAGCTCTGTCGGCAAAGCTGTATGTGACTTTTTGTGTTCTAATTCTGTCAATGTTGTTGTATTAGGGAAAAGATGGCTAAGCAACGTTGAAAGTTTTATCTTGGGAAGTACTAGTGATTATGTGTTGCATCATTCGGAGATACCCGTTATTATTGTTCCTTTTACACGTTAGTTGTTTTTAAATCCGATTCTTTCAAAAATTCAAATGAAATTTTAATTCTATAGGCCAATCAGTTTTAATCTTAAAAAAATTTTAAAATCTTAACCATGTTCAAAACATTAAATCTTGGCCGTTTTCAAATTTAAGGTCATTTATTGTATGACTTATTTAAGGTCATTTATTGTATGACTTATACTGTAGTGAAGAATAGATATTGGATTTTAGTATGTTTTGTTTGTTGGATGTTTTAACTAAAAACTTTTGACAATATAAATTAAATAATAGATAAAAATTAAATGAAAGTTAATAATAACTTAACAAAAATAGATTATAAATTTGTTTATCTGTCTGTGAATAAATTTTGATTAAATAACTTTAATAAGCGTAACTTGTATTTTGCGTGCAAATGTAGGTAATTAGATAAGAAGACGCAAAAACTTTTTGACAACTTTAAGCGCTAAATATAAAATAAAATTGTACAACTGAACAAGTGCACGAATCATCATATGAACAACTTGTGTGTAAGATAAATGATCTATTATATGATCGTATTTACTAATTTAAAAACAAAAACAATTTCTAAATAAAAATTCAGATTAAGTCAAAAATGTGGGGCAAAAAAAGTTATGGTACCCATTAATTCTCTTTTTTTTTAATTATATATAACACATTCTTAAATATTGTCACAAAAATAATTGTTTTTTGAAAATTTTTTTCAATTATTTTATTTGTTAATGTTATATACTTTTTTTAAATTTTACCAATATTCCAATTGTTACTGATAGTTGTTACCATTTTATCAATATAGTTATGCCAAGGTTATGTTTGAGAAGAATATGAATAAAAACGTTTTGCATGACTAAACAAATCAATGTTCATGCCCCCATTTTTGTGAACATGCTTCCGCGATAAGAATTTGGTTATGAATGTGCGCAGATAAGTTTTAAAGGTTTTTAAACTTCCAGCTTGTTGTTTATAAAGTCTTAGACCATTAAAACTGATAGACACGGCGTTTTCGTTAATCTTTGAAGCCAAATTTTTTCAGAGAATGTGACGTCAATTTGTGGCAAAAAACTAGAAAAAACAAGATTTTATTTAAATTTTTTAGAAAAATTCTTTTTATTTGAAATATATAATACATTTATATGGGATATATTCTTATAAAGACTAAATATAGTAATTACTATGCCAATTCTTTAAAACTATTTATTAATTACTATTGTAATAAATACAAACGCTTATCCGTGAAATAATATATCTTTACCAGTTTTACTTCTTTTTGTGCAATTATATACACCCTAATTAAGATTAATTAAAAAATATAAGATAAATGCAAAAGCAATCTCGACCTGAAAATGATTTTTTTGCCGCAAACTGACGTCACTAAGCAAAACTTTTTTTGGCTTCACTTTTAGATTAGCTAACGCCGTGTCTACCAGTTTTAATGGTCTAAATATAAAATAGTTGTTTCGACGCGTAACGACTCACAATCAGATTTGTTATATTGCTATCATTACATTAATCAAAGTCAATGCGGATAAAGATGCTAACACCGCCACCTACGCAAATATCGCGCATTAGATTAATTAATTCATAATTTATTAACTCAAAATTAGACTTTTTCAAAACTGGTTTAAGCCATGAATAAAAAAAAGCTAAACTAAAATTTTGCATTTGCAAATTTACCGGTTTTTGCATTTAATCTGGTGGATCTTTGCACGAATCTGGCGGTTTTTTTCATTTAATCTGGCGGTTTTTTCCATTTAATCTGGTGGTTTTTTGCATTCAATCTGATGGTTTTTCTTTATATTATTATTGCTTTATTTAATTTAACTTCTTTATGTACAACTTAAGCCCGTTTTCTCTTAAATTTTTTAAAAATTTAAAATGAATAACGCACGAAGACAATGCTCAGAGATTAAGGTTGAAGTAAGAAATCTTGTAATTAACAAAGGAAAAAGTGTGAAAGAAGTATCGGAACTCGTGCATAGAAGTGAGACTTCAATACGACGCCTGGTCCATCGAAATTTATCAGCAGGTAATATCAATCCTGGTATTAGAGGTGGTTTTCGAAAGTCAGGTTGTACTGAGGAAATAAGAAATAAGCTACACGAATTGATTGGAGATAACAAAAACTATAATCTACAGGAGTTAAAGGTAGAACTGGGACTTGATGTCAATGTCTCTACATTATGGCGATGGTTAAAAAAATTGAATTATACATACAAAATATTAAAACCCATTAGTGAAAGACGCAATACTGCAGATGTAAAAGAAGAAAGAAAAACATTTGTTTCATGGTATTTAAACTTGACATTGCAACAACGCTACAGAAATATCATTTACATCGATGAAAGTCCGTTAAATCTTCATATGATAAGAAACCACGGATACAGTCTCCGAGGAATGACCCCAAATCAACGTATTTTATCATCAAGAGGCCGTAACATAACTATGATATTAGCATTAAATTGTTTAAACATAGTGCACTGTGAAGCAATAATTGGCGTTAGGGTGACAGCAGAAATCTTTAAAGGATTCTTAAATACGCTTAAAATTATTTTAGGAGAAGAAGAAGAGTTTACCTTGGTGATGGACAAAGTTAAGTTTCATCATTCATTATTAGATTTTTATGATAGTTATCCGTTTTTGATCCCGATACTCACCTTTTCTAAATTTTTGTGAAGAGACGTTCTCGAAAGTTAAGAAAACTAGAAGAGGGCAAATAGCTCCGATCGGAAATAACGATTTGTTAGAACGAATGAGGAGCGGAGCGGTTGTGAGCGCGTTACTGAACATGATCTTTCAAACTCCGTGAGACACTGCGAATCTTTTTTCACACAATGTGTTAATGGAGATGACATTAATAGAGAATTAAGTAATAATTTTTTGAAACTTGTTTTTTTGAACTTGTATGTTATATATATATATATATATATATATATATATATATATATATATATATATATATATATATATATATATATATATTTTTTTTTTTTAATTATCTTCGCTTCCAACAAGGTTGCAAGCGAAGATAATTAAAAAAAAAAACTTATTAGTGTTGGAAGTTACTGGAAGAGAAAAGATGAAGATTGTAGAGCAAGATAACGATTGACAGACGACTTAAAATATTGCAAATTATATAAATCAGGAAAGCAAGATGAAGAAAGCGAATTCCAAAGAACTGATGTTCGAGGAAAAAAACTAGACGAATAAGAGTTTTTGGAGCACTTAGGAACAGTAACAGAAAAAGGATGAGACTTGATTGAATGACGAGTAACACGAGAATGAATTTAAGTAGATTGCACAAGAGACGCTAGCTCTTTAGAGCAGTGCCCATTATAGTATTTGTAGAAAAGAGAAAGAGAAGCAACATTACGACGATGTGACAGAGGTTGAAGGTTGGCTGCAAGAGCAGGTCCAACTATGTTTACAATGCGTTTTTGCACTTTGTCTAAAAGAGAAAGGGCATCATTAGAAGATCCGCCCCAGATATGGCAACAGTATTCCATACAAGGCCGGATTTGAGATTTATAGAGATAGAGAATAGAATCCAGAGTAAGAAAGTGACGAGCTCGATAAAGAGAAGCAACTTTAACAGATGCTAATTTTGCAACAGATTTGATATAAGGTTTCCAAGAAAGATCAGAAGTAAGAGTTAATCCTAGAAGATGAAGGGTAGGAGACTCATCGAGTACATTACCGTTCATAAATATAGGAAGGTCTAAATTATTGCGATAACGATTGGCCGAAAAAAATTGAGTTTTATCTGAATTAAAGTTCACCAGCCACTGCGAGCCCCATGCTGTAGCAGAAGTGAGATCCTTTTCGAGCTCAGATGCCCCCTGCAAGCAATCAGAGGGAGTTGGCTTCTTATCGTGACAAGAATAAATGGTAGTATCATCAGCGAACAATGCTACCTTAGATGTGAGAATATCTGGAAAATCGTTAATGTAAATTAAAAAGAGTATAGGGCCAAGGATTGAACCTTGGGGAACCCCTGAGGTTACAGAATAAAAAGAAGAGTGCTGTCCATTAAGGACAACTTTTATACTACGATTGGAAAGGAAGGATTCAATAATTCTAAAGATGTTTCCAGATACACCATAAGAAGAAAGCTTATGGAGGAGACCAGCATGCCAAACTTTATCAAACGCTTTAGAAATGTCAAGAGCAATGGCCTTAACCTCTCCACCTTTATCTAATGCGCGATAAAACCTATCGGTTATTACTGATAGCAAATCAGCCGTAGAACGAGAAGATCGAAATCCATACTGATGATCAGAAAGTAGGTTATGAGATTCGAGATGAGAGATTAAGTGTTTGTTAATTAAAGATTCAAAAACCTTGCTTATGAAAGGAAGAAGACTAATGGGACGGTAGTTAGATGAGTCAGATCGCTCTCCAGAATTTTGAAAAATAGGGATAACAGATGCTGCTTTCCAGCAGGCTGGAAAACAAGACTCTGATAAGCACTTGTTGAATAGTTTTGAAAGGATAGACGACAGCTCCGGAGAACACTTCTGCAAGACTATAACAGGTATGTTGTCCGGGCCGCAAGCTGTAGAAGAGTCTAAGCGGGAAATCACTTTAGATACAGAAGCTGGAGTGATACGAATGTCGAGCAATGGATCAACCTGTTTGACGGGTATATCAGGTAAAACGCAACTAGTGGCATCAAGAGATGGTATTGATGAAAAGTTCTTGGCAAACAATTCAGCTTTGTCTTTAGGTGAGGTGACAAAGTCTGAACCGTACAAAATAGGTGGAATTACAGACTTGCTTTTATTATTGATACTATTAAAGATTCTCCAGAAGTCACGAGAGCCTAATTTTTGTGATGAAATTCGAGATTTCATGATCTGAGAATAGCGGGTTTTGGCGTTTGACAAAACCTTTTTACAATGGTTCCTAGCAGTAATAAAGAGACATCTGTTTTCTGGAGAATTGTTTTGCTGATAGATATGGAAGTAATGGTTTCGATTGGCAATTGCAGCAGCACAATGTGA